TCCTTTGCTTGAATGGCTTATGTGATGAAATGGAACTTTTGACTAATGTGCCTAGTTCTCTAGTGGAGAACTTGATTCTTTGCCATTGCTATGGCAGAAGTTTTATCACACAAAATTGGTGTGCCATCCACTTGTTCCTCCCCAAAGTCTTCGAGCACAAACCTTAGCCATTTTGCCTGTGATGTAGCTTCTGTAGCACTGACGTATTATGCTTCTGCAGTGGACAATGCCACTGTAAGTGTTCCTCATATCATCTTCACTTATTGCCCAGTCACTATCATAGTAGCCAATTAAAGTGGTTGTCTTTCCTTTCACGTATTCAATTCCAAAATCAAGAATGCCCTGAATGTATCTCAATACCCTCTTGGCTATTCCCATATGTTTCCTTGTGGGATTATGCATTAATCTAGCAAGTAAACTAGAAACAAACATTATATACGGCCTTGTAGCAGTTAAGTCTAGTAGGCTACCTACAACCTGTCTATATTCACTCTCATTTGCTGCTTCACTGCCATCTACCTTGCATAACTTCTCATTCACAGCAAGTGGTGTGTTGCCACAGTTTTGCAATCTTTCATCCCAAATTTCTCAATGACCTTCATTACATATTTCTTTTGGTGAATAAAAATGCTTTTATCTGTTTGTACTACCCCATGCCAAGGAAATGATGAAGTAACCCCAAATCAGTCATCTCATAGTGCTGCATCATGTCATTCTTGAACTCTTCAAGTAGTTTTGGATAGCTTCCAGTGTATACTATATCATCCATATAGAGTGAAACAATAATGATACATGAAGCTTCACTAGTCTTGACATAGAGTGTTGCTTCAGTAGAAATCTTCTTGAAACATGCCTTGCTGAAATAGGAATCTATGTTATCATACCAGGCTCTTGCAGCTTGCTTCAGCCCATACAAAGCCTTGTTCAACTTATACACCTTGGTTTCTTCACTCTCCTTCACAAATCCTTGTGATTGCTTAACATAAACCTCTTCCTTCAAAACCCCATTCAAGAAAGCAACCTTTACATCTAACTGGTACTCCATTCCTTCTGTGCAGCAAAAGCTATCAAGGTCCTGATTGTATCCAACCTTGCCACTGGGGCAAATGTCTCATTGTAGTATATCCTGGAATTTTGGGAATAGCCTTTTGTCACCAGTCTAGCCTTGTTCTTTTGCGTAGATCCATCAAGATTTAGCTTCGTTTTATAGACCCACTTAACACCAATGATTGGCTTGTCAAATGGTCTATCAATTAGTTCCCATGTGTTGTTTTTCTCAATCATTTCCAACTCATATTTCATTGCATTCTTCCATGACTCATCTAGAGGAACTTCTTCATAGCTTTCTGGTTCCACAATGCACATGTTGCACTGTGCCATGATCTCATTAATGCTTCTCCATTTCTGTGGTGTGATCGATTACTTAGAGCTTCCAAAAACATCCTCACTCAGTGGTGTAATAACTTCATCCACTTCAGTTGGTGTATCCAAGGATTGACTTGATTCACAAACTTCAAACTGCTTCTATCATTTACTATAGTCTGCCATTTGATTCTCAGCAATCATAGGAACTTTCATTTCACTTCTATTAGTGTTCTCTCACTTCCATGTGCATTTTCATCAAATATTACATCTCTGGACAAGATGATCTTTCTGGAACTTGGATCAAATAACCTGTACCTTTTTTCATAGAGTCCATAACCCACAAAAATGCATTTGTGACTATTTTCTTCAAGCTTATGCCTGAGTGTTGAAGGGATGTTCACATAACACAGTGATCCAAAGACTTTTAAGTGTGCAATGCCTAGTTTTCTGCCAGTGTATGCTTCAAATGAAGTAATTTTCTTGAGAGACTTAGGAGGACATCTATTGAGTATGTAGGTTGTAGTGTTCTTAGCCTCTGCCTAAAACTCATAAGGAAGACCATTTTCATGCAGCATGGACTTTGCCATTTCCACCACAGTTCTATTTTTCCTCTCAGCCACTTCATTTGATTGACGAGAGTATGCCATAGTTAACTATCTTTGAATTCCAAGCTCATTGCAGTACCTGTTAAATTCATTTGACAAAAACTCTCCACACTGCAGTTTAGCATAGCTTTGAACTTTTTGAAACATTCAAATGCATTTGATTTGTTCCTGAGAAAGTACACCCATGTCATTCTGGTACAATCATCTGTGAACAACATAAAGTACCTATTTTCAGAGATAGATTCAGTTTGCATTGGTCCACAGATGTCTGTGTGGACCAATTCCAATGGAAGTTTAGCCCACCAAATGGATTCTGATGGAAATGAATCTTTGTGTTGCTTTCCTAGCATGCAGCCTTCACACCAACAGAAGTCTTCTCTAAATGAGGCAACCCATGACCATTTCTTGATCTTCAAGCAACTTGATGCTTCTATCATTTAGTTGCCCCAATCTATTATACCATATCTGCAGACAATGTGTCACACTTGCCTGCAAGGCCAACTAATTTGCAGGCATCATTGTAAGAGGAAAACACATGTTGTTTGTCATCTGTACTCTAACAACAAGGTTGTCCAGTGACCAACCATCAAAGATATTCACTACATTTCCTTAAACACCAGATAATATCCATGCTCCATCATTTGTCCAACACTAAGAAGATTCTCTTCAAGTCCTAGAACAAGCATCACTTCTTGAATATGCTTCATTCCTAATTTGGTCTCTATCACTAGAATTCCCATTCCTGCCACCTGAATTATTTCTCCAGTTCCCAGCTTCACTTTGGAAGTTAGATTTCTTTGAATATTAACTAACAACCTTTCATCACTTGTCATGTGGTTACTACAACCACTATCAATGTGCCATGAATGGTTCACCTTCACATCTATCACTGCATTACATACATAAAACAAGGAACCAGTTTCTTCTATCTGATTTGCATAGTTCACCTTTTATACACCCTTATTTCCATTGCAATCTCTGAGCACATGTCCAAACTTCCCATAACTTGTGCATTTAGGCTTCCCTTCAAACCAACACTTGCCATAATGCAGTTTATCACAGTGCTTACAAGCTGTTTTGTTTCCATCATGAGGGACATTTGGTTTGGAAGTAAAATTAGGCTTATTATCCCTTTTTTTTTCCTTTGGATTTCCAGTTTCTCTGAAATTTTTTATTTCCAGAATAGCTTCCACCCTTAGAAATTTTACCTCTAACATTTAGACTTGTAAAAGCCCTCTATGTGGAGTTTTCAGCATGTCTATCCAATTTGAGCTCAAAGCTTTTCAAATAAGCAACTACCTCTTGAACCTCAAGAGTTTCAAGATCCTTAGAGTGTTCAATCACATAGTAAATATGGTCATATGATCTAGGCAAACTAATCAATAATTTTTGCACAACTCTCTCCCTAGACAGATCTTCACCATAGCTTTTCATTTGATTCATTATATCAAACAATCTAGCAAGATATACAAATAAGGATTCACTATATTTCATACGGGAATATTCAAATTCTCAAAGCAAACCTTGCAATTTTACGCTCCTTACTTGCTTATCTCCTTTGAACTCTTGCTTCAGAATGTCCCAAGCACCATTTGAGGTCTCATCGTTCATAATTCTGGGGAAGATTTGATCTGAGACTGCACCTTGGATCAACCCAAGTGCACGAGCATCCTTCATCAGGATTTCAGACATCGTAGGCTTCTCCACTCCAACAATCCTTCCTTCTTATCTACATCTTCTATCTTCTCATTCTCCTTCTTTAGATCTGAGGTATCGATCCCATTTTCAACAAGATCCCATAGATCATGAGATTTCAGAATGGTTTTCATTCGAATACTCCAGAACTCATAATTTTCTCCATTGAAAACTGGCATGTGAAGCTCAGCAGTACTTGATCCTGCCATATTAGACATTGGATTGAAGAAATCACACTACCTCGATCGTCGAATGAGCTTGATCACAGCTCGAATCGATTCCAATTTTCATTTCACATATTCACGCCCAGTTTAGGCAACCAAACCTGGCTCTGAGGCCATGTTAGAGTTCATAGCTTATGGTATTTAGTTTTATGAAGGTTTTGAGTGTTTGGGTAGAAAGAAAGTTGCAGAGAAAATGCAGCTATGGTGTTGCAATAATGATGAAGGTTATGATTGTATTTCACACTCCACTAACCAGATATAACTGTTAGAGGAGAAAGAGAAGTGAGATTCTTCTCTAACAAATTTTCACCAAGATTAAATCCTAGCCTTTAATTCTATCACCCTATGAGGTGATTACACTTCTCATAATCTATCACTTAGATCTTAGGTTAGAGAAGAGACCACTTGGACTATGATCCAATGGCTCAAATTACATTAGAAAATAAACATATAAAAATGAAATTCAAAACTTGTGACTTTGCCTCCAAGATATCAGCTCAAGGGTTATTTTCTGAGGTGATTACATCAGAAAATAAATTATTCATGTTGAAATATGATTATGATAACATGGTTTTCACAATATGTGTAATCATGTGTGAAGGTACACTATAACATTGGTGTACTAATATACATATGATTGTAGTGAAATAAGTTAATTAATTAATTGAGGAAATAATATAATTAATTAATTAATTAATTAAAGGATATGAACAGTTGTATTTCAACCTAAGAAGTTATAACTTCTCCTGAAGAACACAACTCCTCCAAAAAGATTACTTCCATCTCTATATATTTGTCAAATCCCTTTCTGTCAGATTCATTCAATTCAATTCCATACTCACTCTTTGTTCATTTCCTTCACACCATATTATGATCGATAGTAATGACATCCGTTTCCGATCCTGTGAACTACCCAATTTCTATCATTGGTATTAGAGCCAGGTTTTCATGAATCAAAACAATTTGTCCAGTTTTCATCTGAGGACGTCTCGAACTACATCCAAGACTTTCTCTTTGTCAAGTAACGAATCCAACAACGTTCTTTCCAAGTTTCAACTTGAGAAGAAATCAGGGAAGAGGGCGTTGGTGACCAAGGAGAATATTGAACCGATTTTGATCGAAAGTTCGAAATCGTCATCTAAGAATTTTCCTGTAGAATCCAAAACTTACAAAAATACCCAATCATTCGAAATCCTATCCTACAACCCATTTGAACCTAGGCCTAAATTAACCCAACAATTTGAACTTTATTCCCTTACACTGTTTCATTCAACAGAGAACAAAATTCTTTCTGAAAATAAACCATTTTATCATACAAATTCATCCAACAATTATCAGAATTCAGAAAGTTTTTATAGTGCCATTAGGCCCTCAGACAACCCATTTCAATCGGGGTTTCTGGCTGCAAAGATCAAACCTGCACAGAAAATTGAAAACTTGCAGCATCCTTTTAGACCCATAGTTTAAGAACCTTTTTCTGCAATTTGGTCACAAAACCCAAAAGGCTTACCTGCAACATCTCGATTGATTCGTTGTCCTTCGTTGACTGCTGCAAATCTGAGACTGAACCCGCGATTTTCGCGCCTTCCTCCATCGTGGACTCGCCACGGTAACCCACTGAACCATAGCAGGCAGCAGCATGGTGGTGTTCTTCCCCCATGGTCTCATCGTTCAACCGTGATCTCGTCCTCTCGCGGTAATACACAATACCGACAACACCGTTATCCGCCAAGGAGAATTGCCTTTGCTGTTCAAGATTATCCGCCAGGCTACGGAACAAAATTTTTCCAGAGAAAGTAGACAGTGGAACCAGTTTTCTCTCAGAGGAATTGTTTTGAAAATAAAGAAGAAGAAGATTGTTTAGAAAATAAAAAAGGTGAATTTATTTTGGGGGAGGCTTCACGTGGAGACTATAAAGTCAAAAGCTTTGGTGATATTGGACGAAATAAAAGGCAACAATTCTTTTGGTTCTTCTGTTTACCCTAATAATTTAACTCATAAAGTTGATTTATGGAATACTTTGAATAATAGTCACAAAAATCAAAAGTGGAAACAAGGGTTTAATTTTCGGAATTCTAGAGTCAAAGTGCTTAATTATTTGGATCAACATAATACCTGTTACGGTTTTATATATCCTGATTTGGTACAAAGAGAAATTTCGATTGCAAGAAATTTAAGGGGGCCAAGACCATTGAGAATTGAAAGATAATCTCGTAGTCGAGAATAGACTGCTTTTGTACATGGAAATAGAGGAATAATTTATCACACCTAGCCAAGTAGACAAGTAAGAAATCCACGAGCCTTTTATCGACGTGATGGCCTGAACAAGTACTCGTCTTTCACTGATTGAACAAAGCCTCTGTGAGTGTGTGCGGTATTTGCTGCTAAGAATAAATAAGTCTCTATTTTTATTTTATTTTGTTTTTAGTTTTTAATTTATTAAGAACATTTAGTATTTGTGGCTGGTAATAATTAAAAGTACATTAGTAGTATTTGTATTTGTATTTAAGTTTGTATTAAGTATTGTGTTTGTTTTGTAATTTTTTGAGCTATGGCAACTTGTATTTGTATTTAAGTTTGTATTAAGTATTGTGTTTGTTTTGTAATTTTCTAAGCTATGGCAACTAAATCTTCCAAATCCAAAGTTTTTAAAATAAAGAGGTTGAACAACATTAATTATCTAATATGGAAGACAAGGATCACTTATCTTTTAACCCATGACAAGACTTTGTACACTATCAAAGACAAGAGACCCCTTGGGCCCTCTCGAGTTTATAATAAATGGGTGGAAGATAATGAGTTGGCTAAGGCTACAATTCACAATTACATGGAAGATAAATTAATACCTCTCTCTCTATGAAGAATGTTGATGCACAAACCGGAAAGGTCTTGGAACAACGTAAATCCGACCGTGAATCTGCAAGAAAGTAAAGAACACAAGATGTATCGTGGTTCACCCCAATGTTTAGGCTACGTCCACACTGATGTTGATATTGTTTCACTTTAAATGATGAATGTACAAGAAGGCTAGAGGCAGTGTGCTCTCTAACCTATTTTTTATGTGCTCTCTTCCCATGGCCTAAGACTTGGCCTCAATCTTGGCCCCTCCTAATGAGGAGAGTAAGGAGTCCTTTTATAGAATAAGGGCTCCTCATTTATTACATATTTGCCCCTTCATTTATTACATAATTACATTTGAGTCCCCCGAGTATTTATACAATGTCTAAATACGGAGGCTTTAAGTATGGTACAAACAATAGTCCCCCAAGTCTTCAGTCAAGAGAGTTTTTTGGCTGGAGGCTTGAAATTTAGTCCATGTGTGGGCCAAAGTGACTAGATGTCGTCTAGAACTAATACTCAATATAAGGCGGTGCTCAATGTGAAATGATGCTCAACTAGAAATAGCACATGTTGCGAGGCTGCTCAGCTTGTGGCTTATGTTGCTTTGGTTGGTTCGACTTATGGCGTTGAAGGTGAGGGAGTCCCTTTTATAGAATAAGGGCTCGCTCCTCAATACATAAATGATGGGCTAGAGTTGATGCTCGCGGCGAGGTGGTTGCTCAGCAGGCGGCGATGCTCTCTAATGATGGTGAGGTAGTCATTTTTATAGAATAAGGGCTCGCTCCTCAATACATAAGTGATAGGTTAGGAGTGATGCTCGCGGCAAGGTGGTTGCTCAGCAAGCGGCGATGCTCTCTAATGATGGTGAGGGAGTCCCTTTTATAGAATAAGGGATTGCTCTTCAATACGTAAATGATGGGCTAAGAGTCTC